ATTCCATGCTTTTACAATTGCTTCATTTCCTCTATTATTATTTTTAATATTTTTAACTGTATTATTTCCTAAAAGTTAGCATTAAAAATTAAAATATTTTAAATAACTACTAAATTATATTTTATATTTATTGCCTCTAATGATCAGTCCTTCAAATATAAAGTGCTTTACTTAAAATAAGGGATGTAAGATCCAGCTATTGATAATTTAAAAAATCAGCGAGCATTTAATAGAAACGTTAAGGATGATACGAGAATCAAAATCGTTATCTTTAAAGATACCTATTTCGATAACCGAGATTTTTGTTAGAGATTCTAGTTTCTATTTTAAAGTATATAAAAGAAAATGAAAACTCTCGTTTAGGGTTGTCAGTTCATGGAAATTATCCGCATATACGAAACCGAACCAAGAACCAAACCGAAAAATCTAATAGTTCTTCGGTTCGGTTCGGTACAGTACGACAACCCTTCTCTAATTGATACATACGCTGGCAGAGTAGAGAGTGCCTGGACTTAAATGCTTGTTTTATGTCCGCGGCCATAATTTCGCGAAATCTTACTACATAAACTAATAAAATAATATTTTATTAAAATAAATAACCATTCTCAAACTCTTTCACAATTATTTTTCTCGTAGAATAATTAACATTATATGAACAATTCTGTTCTGGATAACCAAGTGTTAACACAACCATTATTGGATTAGTATGTTTTTCTAATCTAATTCTTTCTTCATAACTATAATTAATATATTTTGAAAGATATTGGTTCTTTCTAAAATTAATTTCTGATTCTTCATTCCAACTCTGCGATTTTTGACTTAATTCTTCTAATTTGACTGGAAATTTCCAATCCCTAAAAAATTAAATATTTTATTTACTTAAAAATTATTAACCATTCACTAAATGTTTCCAAAAATTTTTGTAACAAATAAATTTGGGATGAATCAAAATAAAGTAGAACAATCTTAAGAATAAGCAAATTCAAAGTTGCTCCATTTAGTAAACCAAATTGATTATTATAAATAAAATGATCTGAAATTTTTTTGTTTAATCTTCCTAAATAAAATATACATAATTAGTAATTTGTAGGTATGTATAATGAAATAATATTTCTAGAATAATTGATAAGCTAACTTTATTGAGTAGGACGGGTATTAAATTTTAGTTTCCTTATGCCTGGGTTAAAAGGTAGGGGGACTGATAAATCCCCGGATATTTGGATATGATCCTTAATTACCGGATATCAGCACTTTTTGTATCCACATATTCAGATTGCGAATAAGTGGTGGAAAAGGTGAGACATGTTGATGAAAAGATACGATCCTTGGAAGCGGATATACAAACCAGTGAAGGGATGTGTTACCCTAACCTGTTCTTTTATCTATCCAATACCCTAAACACGAAAAGATAAATTTTCAAGACCCCGACCGACATTATTCTCAACCCGTCCCATCACGGATACCTATCAAATTAAATTCATTTTAAAAATTTACTTTTAGCCCACAATTTCAAAATTTTTGTTAGAAATATGAACTTATTCAGATTTCCACCTTTATCAATAATATTTTTAATAATTTTATTTGAATTATATGAAGCTAATGTTAATATTTCTCCATGTATTTCTTTAATTTTATTTTCATTAATTTCTAAATCTTGTAATTCTTCCAATTTTTCAATTATTTTTTCAATTTCAAAATTATTTTGTTGAATAAATTTATTTAATTTTATTGATATTATATCTTTTAATATAACAAATGATATATCAAATTTAATTTTAAATAAAATAAATTCGATTATTTTAATACGCGTGTGAGTGTTTTTACGAAGCTGATGAATCGGTGCTTCCTAAATAAGTTAATTTTATTTAAATATTTAATTATTAAAAAAATAGAAGATCATCGTTTTTCTGTTTTAAGTCACCTCTGATTTTAGATGGTTGACACCCTTTCTAATGAAGTTTCTTTTTGGCGATGGTGAAAAATATAGCCCACATTATAAATCTTGGTACTATGCGTTTATATCCCCACAATTCTGCAAATGTTTGTCCGCACTTTTTTCATTCTTTCAATTCAAAAAGGATTAGAAACGGTCAAGTTAACCCCCATTTTTTCTTCGCCTTCATTCTCCTCTCACAAAGATTAAAATGTTCAAGTAAAAATAAAGGTCGAATGGTACCAATATAGTCGAATGGTACCACTCTTTTTCCCGTAAATGCCTGTGGACCGAGATATATGGCTCAAAATGGTCAAAAACCATGGAGCAAGTATCGTAACTATGTCCAATCTTGTTCAATCACGATGATTTTGATGTCATTTGACTCATTTCGTTTAACTGCTTCAAATGAGTATTTGTTTGTACAAACTTCGAAATGTTCATAGGTCCGTATTTAGGTCCAATCAAATCAGAAAAATGGGAGGGGGGCACCAAACAAACTATTACCGAAATAATTTCAAAACATTCTCTTATTTTTACCTTTATATTTTTCTATAAGCGAGTCTTCCTTTATTTTTACTTGAACATTTTAATCTTTGTGAGAGGAGAATGAAGGCGAAGAAAAAATGGGGGTTAACTTGACCGTTTCTAATCCTTTTTGAATTGAAAGAATGAAAAAAGTGCGGACAAACATTTGCAGAATTGTGGGGATATAAACGCATAGTACCTAAATCTTTTATTAATAAAGAGTGAGCCCCCTCCTTTGTGTATAGAGTTGCCGTTTTCAAGTTGGCCCGACGGTTTGAGTCGGTTCGACTATTTCTGGCCAAATATCTTAGGTCCATTTTAGCAACCCTAATTGGGAATGTTTCGAAATTAAGTCTCTATGTATTATAGCACAATCTATATTAATTCTCATATTTTAGAATTCAATATGGCTATGAAATAAATGTCTAGGGGACTAAAACAAAAAAAAGTTTAATTTATTTACATTGTATAGAGAACAAAAAAGAGATATTTCCAAAAGTTCAATTTTTTCAAGATTTTTACATTCATCAATGTTTGTATTACCAATAAACTGATTTAATTCATTTACTTTACAACCATCGTCTTTGTTTTTATTTAAAACAACAATTCCGTCAACATCAGATTCAACAATATCTGTATTCAATAATTTTGAGCCACTCAACAAAAATTCAATATCTGTACAATTATAAACATTTTTGGCCCATTCAAAAATAATTGACTTTAAATAATTCATAGCAGAATTGTATGACTTCGATTCAGTGTTAATTTGAAACTTTTCCTTGATTACCTCGGCAAACTTGAATTTAAAATAAGTTATAATCAGCTACCACACAATGAAATGATTTTTTTTGGTTTCTTTGCCTATATTCTTTTACTCTACTCAATCAACGAACAAAGGCGTGGTATCGTTTGAGGCAATAATATTGTTTGATTCAGCTCGTCAAGCCGCATTGAACCATACCAGTGCGTCACAGATTCAACAATTTTGAACAAAGTTATGGGGGTGGGCTCGTGGAATATCAGCCTCCCGAATAACGTCTTTAATATTGATGTTTCGGCATTAACTAAATTCTACCCACCAAATTGACTCAATTCCTCAATGTAGTAATTATTCGTGGGGCATATAATATTAAAGTGTTATCGAGTAATCAGATATTCTGAAATAAACTTACAGAATTTTCGGCATTGTTTTTTTGATTAAAACTAAATGGTAGTTCTTCAAATATTTTAAATTCCATTCCAAAATTTTCATCTAGAATAATTTTTTGAAATTTGATTTAAAAATAAAATTACCGTATTTAATATATAATGATTTTGGGTAATTTTGGGTGATATTGGGTAATAGAAACGGGTAATTATTTGAGGTTTTTGAAAACATAGTTATAACAATTATATAGGAAATTATTTTTAGAACTTCGAAGAGGGTAATTATTAGGGTGATTATTATAATTTAAGGCTAGATAATTTTCGAATAAATACGGTAAATATACTATACTCACATGTCAACAGTTTCTGTTTTATTTTCAATTTGTAATTTTGCAAAAATACTTCAAATTCCTGGCTACTAATATTACCCAGTAGTGATACCAAACTATTGTTTTGATAATCGTTTATTTGATTCAATTCTCGATTTGTAATTAAACTGGCCAATCTTAATTTTAAAATAGTTTAAATTCCTTTAAAATACTTTCCGCTCCATTAGTAAAGGTTGGTTAAAAAGAGAGGTTTAAAAAATCTACTGGATTTTTTTCTTGTTATTGTTGTTACTAAGGTTGTCGGATCTGGATATACGGATCCTATACTCAGATGATATCTACCTGATTCTAATCCGAAGATTTCCAACTATCCGACAAACATTACTCAGTTCTATTAAAAAAAAAACTATATTTTTTAATTCTTAAGGTTTTCTAAACCTATGTCTATGTAGCATTCCGACCTATGTCTACAAACCTATGTCGATGTAGCATGCTTTTTACAGGAATAATATCATTATAATTAATATCTCTTTCATTCTCACTTTTTATCATAATCCATTCATCAGTAATTATTGTAAATTCTCTTAAAAAATTAAGTAATTTATTTTCCAAATTATTTTTATTTCCGAGAATGAAATTTTCATCTAATATTTTGTCAAATTTTTGCTCTAATTTACTTATATTAAATGATTCTACTGAATTGAATCCAGCAGAATTTTTGTCATCAATTTGAACTAAAAATAAAAAACTTATACTGAGTCAGAAAGGATAGATGCACCCATCTTCTATAATTTTTTAAATATAACTATTAGGGTTGGACACAACCGGTTATTAATAGGTACCATAGGTTTTCGGTTAATCCAATTTTAAAATACCCGGTTTTTGGTTTTGAGTTTTAGACAATTACCGGTTATATTTTGCCAACTTTTTATAAGAGGTACAAAAATGATAGACGTTCGTTCTTTAATAATTAAGAGGAAACATTTAAAAATGCTTTATCCTAGAAAATTTTAAAAAGTTACTGGCAAAAAAGCGAAGTCTAAATGCTAAGAGACGAAAATCTCTCAAAATATATTACCTTCAACACTTCCTATACTAATTGAAGTTATAGATTTCAGTTTTATTTTTTTAATGTATTCAATTCTATTTTTAATTTCCTCAACAATGACAGCAACATTTAACAATTTAAATATACTTCCATTATCCTTATTATTTGAATTATCTAATTCAATATATAATTCGTCCAATTTATTGTTATCCAAAAATATTTTTGGATAAAATGGAGAAAAGTCTGATAAATTATTTTTTGCTTCCTCCTCCTTGAAAAGCTCGTTTAGCTTGCTGTCTTCAATTTTTGCATCCTTTTCCTTGAAAATCTCATTTTGCTTCCCTTCCTCAATTTTTAATTCTTTTTCCTCAAAGTTTAATTTATTTTTTCCCCTCTTACCATCAAAAAAATATTTATGATGATCTAACTTTAAATGATTATTCCAAGAATGCTCTATTGGAAAAACATTAAATTCTTCATCATCTTCGTCCTCTTCCTCTGATATTTTTTGTTTTTCTTCTTTTGTATTTCTCTTCTCTTCCTTTTCTTTCATTCTTCTTCTCTTCATTTCATTCCTACCTAAATTTATCTTCCAATCTTCTTCTATATCTTCATCATTTTTAATAAATGAATTCTTCTCTCTCATTATTTTTTCAACCACCCCTTCTAGATTCAAAATGTATTTAATTTCTTCCAGCTTTTTATCTTCATTAAATAAATTTTTATTATTTTCCTCTTCAGTTTCTTCAATTATTTTATTTTTGCCTTTAAATATTTGCTCAGTTTTATTTTGTTTATTTTTGGATGAATTTCTATTTTTAATAGATTTATTTTTCTTTCCTTTATCTAACAATTTTATTTCATTTAAAATCTTTTCAATCTCCTTCATTTCAGCTAAATAATAAAAATTCAAAATTTTAAATATATGTAGATCTGAAATTATTCCCCCGATATCACTCCAAATCCTCTGGTAACTCTGCAAATCCTCTGATAACCTTCAATACACCTTCAATACATGTTCGGGTCAACTTCTCTATTTTCGGGTCAACTTCCCTTTCCGGTGCTCGGAACAACTTCAGCCATATTCGTGTCAACTTTCCCCGTTTCGGGTCAACTTCATCGATATTCGAAGAATTAACCATTTTTTAAATTTTTTTTATCTTTTACTCAGGCGCCCAAACGGCTCACCAGACCGGGATAACCAACCTGTCCCCAGCATATATAGGCAGCATGCTATTTTTCAATACTCAAAACCGGGCCATCTCCTAGCCTATTGGCTTGGAGAGGCCATCCTGATATATCTTATTTTATTTAATTATCCTTACAATATTTGTTATTTACTCCTTTTTCTATTTTTAACTTCAATTGTCTTCTTTCCGCTTTTTCTTTTTGAATTTCCTTTTTTATATATTCATCAATTGGTGATTTTGAAGCAAATATTTCTTCTAATCTATTTAACAACTTTGGCTTTTTGTTTTTGTAATCTTAAAAAATTAATTAAAACAAATAATAAAAAAATCCCCTGAAAACTTGAAATTTTTAGGTAAATTTTGAAATTTTATCGATTTTTCTACATACCTAATCCTAGCGTACTAGTTTTTCAAAAGCCGAAGATACCTTTGAAAAATTTTGTTTTAAAATTTTTATCCAAATCTCCACTTTCAATTAATTCAAGGAAAAATAACAATTTTCTTGCTATAAATGAAATTAAGATTCTATGATCAATTTCTATCAAATTATCATCATTGTAACGGAAAAGATTTTTCTTTGCTTTATTCCATAGTTTCTACAAATTAATTTTGGATTATTTGAAATTATTTTTAATTAAAAATACTCTCGGTTCTGTCTTTTAGAAATTTAGTTTCCATGTCTTATTCAACGAGTTAAGGTAAAAATAGCATAAAAATAATATGATAAATTGAGAATATGTTAAAGTTCAGTTTCGATTTTGACTTAAGTGAAATACCTAAATCCCGGCATATCCCACGATATCCACATAATAATTCATATATCCCTCCAAATCATTGATCTCCTATGACACGGCTCCAGAACCACCGGCCCTGGGTCCAGCTTTTTAAAATTTTTACTCTAAGCTACCCAAGTAGAGGGCCATTCTCTAATATACCGTCTAATCACCAAAATCCCACAATATCTTTTTTAATCCCTTCAAATTTGACATTTGAGTTACAAAAAGAACTTTTTATCCCTCAAATCACACTCAAGAATGTCCAAAATTTGCCACTTTACAATTTTAAATATTAACAAAAATTTTATTTCCGATTTCCGAGTTCCGACTTTTGAGCTAGTTCTGATTTCCGTCCAATTTCCGACACCTCTGTTTTGACCCACCTCTGTTTAGTAATTATATAAATTTTAAACCTGTATATCAATATGGAACAATTCCTTTCCGAGTATATCATCGTTGTATTTATTTGCAACGTCTTTTAATTTCAACTCTTCAATAGATGAAACCATACTGGTATAGAAAATAAAAAATTTTCTACGCAATATCGTTAACCCAAATATATCATTATCTAATACTAAACAATATATTTGATCAAATATATCCTGCCATTTGTCCCACAAATCAACAGTCCATTTTCTCAATTTTTTTGTTATATCAGTTTTAAGCCAATCTCTAACATTATTATTAAGAATTTCATCCATATGTCTATGCCAAATAAATATATCTACGGCTAAATTATTCAAAAGATAATCCTTCTCGTTGTCGGCATACACAACATTTGAATAATGTAGAGCTAACTGTTTATTGTCGCTATAGACTAAAACGGGTAACAAGTAAAAAATAATACTTGGTAATTTTTGATTTATTAAATTCTAGAGGAGTGAGTCGTCCTTCGGAGAGCCCCTTCCGCTAGCCAAGTTCTAAATCATTACAAAGAATAACTTATATTAAAAATAACTTATATTTAATACCTCACTCATTACTATACAGATCTAGTCCATATCTTCTATTAAGATTAAGGTCAACATATTCAGTAACAGACACCAACTGATATAACTTTTCAACTATCCACTTTTAGTTGATAGTCTATTCTAGTAACTATCAACTTTTATTGACAGTTGTTCTATTAAATGTCAACTATCAACTTTTAACTATCAACTCTTAAACTATTAACTTTTCACTATCAACTATTTTAAATAACTATCAGCCTATTCTATCAACTATCGGCTATTTAGTTGACTTTTGGAAACATTTTTTAATTTAATATAATTTTCTTACTATTCTTGCATTCCTGCTTTAAATGACCGTCAAGAGTACATGCTTCTTTGCATATCTCGTTGGCTAGAATTTTTTCAGAAAATACAATTAAAATTAATGTTAAAATAGTTATTTTAAAATATAACATCTTAATTTAAAATTATAAATAATATTATTAAATAAAAATTATTAAAGTCGCTTTTCTTTTAAAAATTAAATGAGAATTCAATATTAATCCTTATCCTATCTAAAGTGCTTTAATATATAGACATCAAAAGATATTAAGGCGGGATTTATTTTTGTTGTTATTTTATTAATAATAATTTTTGAGTCCTTAATTTTATTTTATTTTCTATATCCCTTAAATTCCGACAAATGTAAAGAAATTTAATCTCCGGAATATATATCTAGAATGATATAGAAGATTTAAACAATCACGTTTAAGGCCACAAATATTAATTTTACTTTTATTAAATTAATTTTTTAAATTTATTTTATATACTCAAATATCAGATTAAATTTAAAAATATTTTCGGCAAGATAAAGCAAAAAAGAGCATTAGCACTTGTAAAGAATTTTGCCGCCCATCAAATGACAAAATCGAATTTATTAAAGGAAACGTCTATATGCGTAAATGTCTAGCAATTTTATACAAAAATTTTTATATACAAGTGCAATGGACTTTAATAATTAATTTAAAACTGTTTAATTTTGAAATATTTAAATGTTTAATATTGAAAATTTAAATTTTTGAAATTAACTATTTTAATATTATTGAGTAAAGGGAATATGGATGTTAAGATTTAAAGAAGTTATCCTTTAAATAGCCTTCAACTGTTTGAAAACTCAAATGTAAGGCACCAGGGCCTTATTTCAAAATTTACGTTTACTTCTACTAATATTTAGATGTTTTTAAAATTATTTTATTTATTTATTCTGTTATATGCATATTTCAATATGAAATATTTGCAAAACCAAAGCCAAATGTTGCGAGTTCGTCAACAAAAGACCATAATATCATTTGGTATATTAATTTCAAGATGTCAAAGAAGACATTGATCCGATACTTTTTTGTAATTTAATTGACTGTTTTATTTTTCACCACTGTAAGCGTATAATCATACAGAATAAATGGATACAGTTTCCACTAAATAAACTTTTTGGCTATAATTTGTTTGATTCTACAACTGACAAAGGAAAATTTCAGAGTTCCCTAACTTCCCTGAGGGGACAGGAATTGTTATAAATTTTCCAATGGATCACAAACAAGCTTGAGGAGATAATGAACTTGCCAAAATAAACATTTTTGTACCAGTTCGATTGCCAATGAAGTTTTCTGTATAGGTGCCATAAATGTGTTGAGAATGTGCACAGAGTTATATCTGGGAATTTACAGCAAAAGGCCAAAATACTTTTCTCACAAATTTCGAAGGAAGAATGTTGTCATAACTGGGACACCCAATTATTGCAAAGACTAAGTGAAAACGTCTGACAGACTCCTAGTAACTGGGACAAAGATTATGCATTTTTTGGAATTAAATGACTAATGTAACAAAATGTTGTAACAAAGACTAATGTAACAAAAAAGATATTTGCTAATTTGGAATAAAAGTGCTATTTCTAAATAATGATTGTGTTCTTTTTCTGAACGAAAAAAATCTTTAAAAATTTTCAGCAACATCTCATGATACTTTATCATATTCAAGTAGTAAAAAGTAAGAAAAACGAATAGATTATGAAATTGATATTGAAGAACAATATGAATGAATAATATTTTATAGTGCTTAAATTTAATCATTATTGGGAATTCATATTTTTAAATATATTTTTAATCCTTCCAAATTCTTTAGCATATGCTTTTTTAAAGTCAGAACTGAAATATATTTTTTAATTGAGATATGTATCTTTAAAATAAATCCCCAAACCTGTTGAAAAACAGAATAGGACCATTAGATGCTGCAGATATATTAATTATAATTCCAAAATAAACTTTTAAAAACCAAATATCAATTTCTGAAACCCCCAAAAGTTGCCATAAAATAACTAATAGCATAACAATAAAATAGCCACCAATATTTACAAGAACTATGAGAGAAAGCGAGCGTACCAATTTTCGCATCTTTTCATCTTGTAAATCTGTATAAATTTGAAAATTGTATTGTTCTTCATGTGTTAATTATGCCCGAGAGCTTGACTATCATCTTACCTCCCTTAATTTTTACCAAAATTCCAACAGCAATGTGTAATATGATTGCAATTAACATTAATGGTATCAAAATAATTGTTGTATTAAATGAATTTGGAGCAGTAAGGCCAACAACTGATCCAATGTAATTAATTACAGGCCAATTTGGATATACTTTTATTAAAGTATAATCCAAATTAACAATAAATATTCCAAAAATAATAACTATTATCAGATGTATTGAAATATATAGATGAAAATTGAGGTTATTGTAACTGTATAAAATTTTCAAAATTAAGGTCATTCAGTAAAGGTCCTTTAGTATACTTATAAACATATTAAAGATACGAAAATAATTAAAATCCTAGGATGCGTTAAAATTGTTTTTAACTTTTCGGTTAATATGTCAGCTTAAGAAAACGGTATTGGGCTACAAGGAGATCCTGTGTGTCCAATAACGAAATGTAGTGATTCCAATGATCCTGTTGCCTCTTAAAACTCGAGCTTCCGGGTTGAGATACAGTAATATCCCATAAGAAATGAGATACCGTAATATCCCATACGTATTCCAACCGAAATCCAAACCGCTGTCTAAATTCTTCTATTCATATCAAATAGATGAGGAAGTGATCATTTAGGAAAGGTAATTGATTTAAGAGATAAAAATAACCAGTGAAAAATTTTGTAAAATGATGATAAAAATTAATTACTATATAGGAAAAGCGACGGCGAAAACCCTATCAAAACTTATGGATGTAAACATAAAGACTGATGCAAATACACCAAAGACCGATATAAATTGATATTTAAATGCTTCTATGGCTGGTACAAAATTAATTCCTTTTATTATAAAAATAAAAAAGAAAAAATGCCCAATTTGATGTAAAACTTCACAAAACGAGTTGATAGCTAGTAAAATGCTTGTTTTGCTTTTCAATGCCGCATATTTTCCCCTGAAAAGAATTTTGATTATTTTAGGAAGAAATAGAATTTTGAGAACTTCATAAATTAGGAATAGAGTGAATTAATATCCTGCATTTTCCTTTCACTTTTATTGTATTTTTCATAAATACATATAATAAATTACCTAATTTAATTTTTTAAAAAAAGAATTAAGATTGTCTATTATATGATTTTCTATTTATGATTGACAATTTATGAGGTCTATTAAATCACCCTAAATAGTCGGTACGGAGTATGTTTATTTAAAACAATAAAATTATTAAAATATAAATTTATTTATGTTTTTTTCTTAATTATTGACTTTTATTGTTTTATGCTGTTTATATTTATATTGCATTTTTATTTGCCACACTGCTACATTGTTGTCGAAATAAGTGGTACGCCCTTTTGATGAAATTTTTTACGTTTATGAACACTTTGGCGATAAGTACCTAACTCCACATTTGAAAAAATATGGTTCCGTATTGTGCGTGGCACCTTAATGTGAGCCTTCTGACCTAAAAATTTTTAGGGAATACGGTGAAAATTCGTATTTTCTTAGTCGGAAGCTTTTTCTATTGACAAAGATTCACTGTAAAAAGCTAACATGATACAGAATTCATAATAAATCATTGGCAATTATTTAGAAACTTTCAAAATTTAAATTACCAATATTTCCAAATAATATAACACACACTTGAATTTATAGTAATTCCAAATAAAGCAAACAAGCATGTAATGAATGCCGGAAGGAAAAGATCAAATTGAAAACCAGATGATGGATATGCAAGAAAAATTTCCTTAATTTATTTTTAATTATGGATGTGATCGACAAGGTTCAACATTATGCTTTTAGAACCGATTCGAAATTCAATATTTTTCATGTAAAATTTTCCAGAAAAAGAAAAATTTTTAGTTGTATATATTTCTTAGCCGGGATATCAAATAAATTAAAGGGATGTCATCATCGGAAAGACCTCTGCCATAGGAAAGAAAAAGATAAGGAATCATTGATAAAGGAATTTTTTTTCCAATTTATAGGGAAATTTTATAATCAGCAAAATTTCCTTGATCTTTGTCAGAAATTGAAATTTACAAACGCATAAATAAACTAACAGGTAATTTCAATGTTGTATTATTCATTTTAAAAACCGCTTATTAATTTAAGAATATTTTTGATTTATTTTGATAGTCGTGGATTAAATAAAATTAACTAATAAATTATCTTAAGTCGTTATGAAAATTAAGGAAATATGTAATTAATAATAAATTTTGATGAAATATTTTTAATAAAATACATTTCAGTTTTAAAAAACATAAAAATTTTCGCAGTCTTAAATATTATATTATTTTATTCTTGAATATAAATTAGATTTATAATATAACATTTACTGAGAATTGTGAAACAAACCCAAATTTCTATATAAATAATGAAATTACATTCATCTAACTTAAACGACAAATACAACATAAAAACTTAATTACAATTTTATTAAATAAAATTAAATTAATTACTAGTATTGAGCTTTAAAAAATTCCCAAAATAGAGCACAAGCTAATTAGGTTCATTCACATCAGGTTCATTAAAAAGCGAAACACGAAATGCGAGAATTTATTATCAGCCTTTTTTGGCACATGCCCAACTCGTTTTTCGCGAATAATGGCAAAAAATCTCAATTTACAAATTAAAACAATTTCGGATCGAGGAAGACATGTAAGTTTTTCTTAAAATTTTTAATAAATTAGAATAACAATTGCTATCTTTTAGCAAATTTAAATGACTTTCGAATAAGCTTAGTAAACTTTATTAGGGTTTGAAATTTCTTTAAAGATCTAACACTTTTTTACGTTTATTTTCACGGTATCGAGATGTAAAATATAAGTAAAAAATGTCCATAAGTAAATTACAAATGAAAAATTAAAATTTGTTCATATTAAATTTAACCAAAAAATTAATTCTCGAATTGTATATAATCCGAAGTAAAACGAATTGTGAAAATAGTAATAGTGAAAAGCATTTGAAATAGAATTGTGAAATAATATTTAATTATTTTCATCATTGAGAATTTATATTTTTAATAGCTTTTTTAATTCGTCCAAATTCTTTAGCATAAGCATTATTAAAATCAGAACTGAAATATTTATTTTTCAAACGACTTGTAAATTTGGTATAAATTTAAATCACCAAACCTATTCAAAAACAGAATGGGACCATTCGAAGCTGCAGATATATTAAGTATAATCCCAAAATAAGTTCTTAAAAACCAAATATCAATTTCTGATAATCCCAAAACTGGCCATAAAACAGCTAATGTCAAAACGATAAAATAACCACCAATATTTACAAAAACTATTAGTGAAAGCGAACGTAACAATTTACGCATCTTTTCGTCTTGCAAATCTTTTTAAATTTTAAAAGAATTAAATATAAAATAAGATTATTTAATTTTGTGGTTTCCTATTTTTAAGATTCTTTAAATTCAAAGATTTTAGAATCCGACTTATAAAAATAAATATTAGATAGATTTTTATAAGTTTAGCAATGTTTGATTGTGGTATTTTTTGCATGGGATATCTTGATCGTAAGGGCTAGGGTAATTACTTACTTTCTGGGTCGAAGTTGGTGTGTAGAGGATGTTGGCTTCAGGTTCGTGTTTTACTTTTTGTCGGGTGTCGGGGTTTGTCAAAAAATTCTTAACTAAATATTTATGCGCCACAGGCGAAAATTTTTTTATTTATAGTTGCAATAAGACACTAGATCTTTATTTTGGTGTTTGGGCGAATAATTTTCAATTAGTATATAACAATAAATACATATCAGTTTACCTCCTTTAATTTTTACAAGAATACCAACAGCAATATGTAATATTATAGCAATTAACATTAATGGTATCAAAATTATTCTTGAATCAAATGAATTAAGAGCAGTTACGCCAATAACTTCCCCTAAAAAATTAGCTACAGGCCAATTTGGATATGCATCTATTGAAGTATAAGTCAAATGAACAATAAATATTCCAAAATTAATAATCATTATCATATGTATTGAAATATAGAGATGATAATTAAGATTGATATAACTGTATAAAATAGACAAATAAAACTAATTAAATACACGTATAAGTACTGGAGACTAAGGTTGGCGGAAGTTGGAAATCTTTGATATACCTGATATCCGGATCCGATATCCGAACCGAAAATTTCCGGATATGACTGGAGATGATCGAATCTGGTGGGGTCTAGAATCTACTTCGTAATTCTAGATTTGGCGTATCTATAATTATAAAGCAGAACGAATATATATTTTATTCTTCTAATATATAACGTCATTCTACTTTATTATACTAACTCACAACCCCTCTCTACACTTAATTTTTATAAAATTAGTTACAATATTGGAAATGCGATAGCGAAAACTCTATCCAAACTTAAAGATGCAAACATAAAAATTGATGCAAATGCACCAAAGATTGGTATAGCTTGATATTTAAAAGCTAATATAGCTGGTACAAAATTAATTCCTTTTATTGTAAAAATTAAGAAAAATAAATGACCAATTTGATGTAAAACTTCACAAAATGAGTTGATAGCCAGTAAAATGCTTGTTTTGCTTTTCATTGCTGTATATTTTCCCCTAAATTATTTAACCGTATTTAGGTAATTTTATAAAGTTGGTTCCAAAGGTTCAGCTTTGAATTCTATTTCATATCGTAGGTGATAATTCAAGGATCTTGAGTTATCATAGGTTCTGATTATATAGTAACACTAGTTAACGCAATGTCCGCCTGATTTCCGTAGAATTCCGCAGAATCAGGAATGATTCTGATTAAATAATCAAATCAAAAAACAATCAATACAAACTCTATAATTAATTGAAACAGGCTTCTGATCGCTTTCTAATGATCTAAGCTTATGTACATTGCAAGACTGGGCGAAATCTAAAAATAAAAAGCGAAATGCGGAAAGCGAAACTTTTCGCGCTGAAAAATGTGAAAAATGCAAAAGATGCAAAATGCAAAATTAGCCCAGCCCTGATGCTTAGGATGCTGATTTTAATTGGTTATCTTCACCATCGATAAAATAGGATTTATGCTTCTTATCAAGAAATCAGTGGTAGTAATTTTATCAAATATTCAAGAGTTAAATTACCAATATTTCACAACTATATAACAAACACTTGAATTCATTGAAATTCCAAATAAAGAAATTAAACCCAGAAAAAATGCAGGGAGAAAAATTGCAAATTGAAAGCCAGAAGATTGGTAAGCCAGAAAAATTTCCTTGAAAAATTTATTTTTAATTTCTTGATTAAAAGGGCGGCGAAATATTTCAACTTCTGTCCTATTAAAATTGCAGCATATTGCGATATGATACTTGATATTTTTGTTGAAATGTTTTATGTAAAAAATATAGAGGTCTCCCCGACTAAACCGCTAAGGATCAATCGAGCGTTTGAAATTAAAAAATAGTAGTGATCCGGTGGGTATCAGGGTTGAGTCGTAATTACGAATTACGATTACGAATTACGGCGTTTTTTTAGTTACGAATTACGATTACGAAAATATCGGTCACATACCCACTGGGTATGTGATCAAGTCTTAGTCTTGAGTATTGGACGTTTTTCTGTCTCAACATTTAAAAAATAAACTAAAATAAACTAACGGGTAATTTCAATGTAGTATTATTCATTTTAAATTAATGTAGTATATTGGTTTTTAAAAATAATTTTAAACATTATTATTTTAAATATTTTTTTTAAATTTAGGTAATAAATAATTGAAATTTTTATTGAACTATTTCAATTTTTGATTAAAAATTAAATTAATAATGTTGCTTAAAAGTTACATAATTAAACTAAAATTACTAGCTAATAAAATTAGAATATTTACATACATCAAGTTTACAAATTATACCACACTAAATTTAATTATAAGCTTGTTTAAAATTATTCTATAATTAAATTTGAAATAACATATTTCTAGTAAATTTTATCTTTGTTTTAATAAAGTGTACCGGAACCAATTACAGTAAGGTGCAAAAGTTTATGCCGCTGTACTTCGCATAGGAAAAAGTCAATATAACCCGAGAAAAGAAGGGACAAAAATAAAATCGATTATATATTTTTTTAAGATTAGGCCTTCTATTTATAAAATTTATAAAAAAAATTCCCATACCAATATTAACCAAAAATTATAGACGGAAAACCCTAACTACCTCCCATTTTTGGGGAGCAAAAGTTTATGCCGCTTACACCAAAAAATTTTTTTTGGTTCTAAAACAAGTCGAAAAAAAGTTTAAAAAATTTTTATAAGCATTTTCATTGATACTGAATGGAGAAGAAAAAAGAATGAATTCGATAAATAATCTTTTCACCATTATCCAAAATCTCAAAAATCAACGTAAAATCGGGGTACAGTACTCAGAGGTAGGGTTGCATTAATAACTGAAAAAATAAAAATGAGCATTTTATAGGGTATTTCGAGTGATTTTGGCGACCTTGTGAATTCATGCGACCCTATCTCGAAGATGAAATTTTTCACACATATGAGACCAAGTGTAGTTTGTAGCAAATTTTATGGGCTTTCTAATGAACCCAAAAAGAATTTTTGATACAGGCCCTAGGGAGCTAAAATATTTTTTTAAGTACTATAACCTCGTTTCCCGTTGATTTTCTAGATTTTAGATTTCAATGAATTAAGCGAGTACAGACTTAGTTTTTTCTTATTTCTATTCATTATCGACAGAAATATTTATAAAAATTTTTATAATTTTTTTCGTCTTGTTTTGGAACCAAAAAAATTTTTTCCTACAAGCGGCATAAACTTTTGCTCCCTCAAAATAAGAGGTAAATAAGTTAAACGTGTAAAACTTTTAAATAACATGAGTATTTAAGAAAATTTTTATGGATATTATAAACTGATAAACTATACTTAATTAAAATATAATCGATTTAATTTAAGTCCCTTTTCTTTCTGAGATATATCGACTTTTCTGCGTGCAAGGTGTAGCGGCATAAACTTTTGCACCTTACTGTATAATTTAATAATAATTTAAATAAAATTTATTCCATTCAAAACGCCAAAACTGACATAAATTTTTTAAACAATAATCTGATTGTATTTTTAAATGTAAACAACAAAAACTGGAAAAAATTTACAAAATCGTTGTAAATAAAGCAATTTTTGATTTAATGAATAGGTAGATTGTTGTGGTAAATTAATATAATAAAAACGTTTTTTGAATCATACATACATGTGATCTTCAATTTATGTAGATATTACCCTCAGTCAAACCTCGACATACCCTCCCCAGCAACCTAAACCCACAACTCACACCCAAGGTCAGGGTGCTACCCTAATTCAAATGATATTCCCTGCTTTTAAATTTCAGAAGTTAAATTTTCTTTATATTGATAACGACAAGAAGCATTTTTAAATAAAATATTTAAATTTCAAAAAATGGTGGATAAAAAGAAATAAATACTAAAAAATGAGAGAGATAAATATGAGAACAATTTTTAAAAATTTTTCTTTTGAAAAATAAATTAATCCTTTAATTTTTACTCAAAAATTATCCTGCAGCTTCGGCAAGTTCAGCCAAAGGCTCCAAAACTGGAACAAAGCGAACACGATCTGAACCTCCAGAAGAAGAACGACGACGATGCCAACCAGAAGTATGTCCAGACAAATAACTTTCATCGGCCATAGGCTTTAAATGATGAACTGAAGAATCCTCTCCAACAGTTGTGGGAGACAATGGACGGCTATATTTATCAGGAATGACAGATTTGAGGTAAACCTGGAAAAAATTAAAAAAATGAATAAAGCTAATAAAATTGTTTTGGAGTAAAATTTGAGTAGGAGAACTGACCGACCCTTGCTTGGTATACTAAAGCTGATCCTAGAGATGAGTCGGATCCAAAAAGAAAAGTGCCTGAGCCTGAGAAAGAGGGGCGGAGCCTATCATCTTCTTTCGGAACTGTGAAAATAAAAGGAGACCAGGGTGACCCTTTCCAAACCACTAAAATAGGGCGCAGCCACTCAAAAATGTGGCAAAAATAGGGCGAAAATGGTCAAAAATAGGGCATTGTTTAAAACACTTCGAAAATAATTAAAATTATAATAAAAAGCTTGATTCCGCATATTTTTCTCTATTTTGAACTAAATTAGGTAAATTTGGTTCAGAAATAATGAGATCATGCGCCTGGGCATAACTAAAATAAGAATTAATTTTAATCGAGACAAGTGACTTAAGTAATTTGACCTTCATTCTTTTTATTTCGTCAGTTTTCACATTCTTAACAACAGAAAAAACTGGAAGCACTAAAAAGTTGAGTCAATTGGAGGGATATAATGGGATTGGGAGAAATTATGAATGGATTTGAAGATTAACAGAGTTATCAAGGTGATTTAGGCATCCCTTCATATACCCTTACTCAAAATTATATTACTATGTATATCCAGCTTAATCTTCTATTCACCTTAATCCTCCTATACATCATTAATCTCTCAAATCCATTGATCTCTCTTCATCAATACAAATCCCTTGTTATCTAGTCAATTCCCCCATAATCCTAGTATATCCTCCGAAATCTTCTCTAATAAAAATCCGCCTATATTCCACTCAAGCCCTTATTTATCTTCTTTTTCAGCGCCGCAGGCCTTCGATTTCACACAAAGTCTTCAAAGATTCTTCCTTTTTCAGCGCCGCAGGCGAAAATTTTGAGAATTTTGCAAGACCAAGAAGCCAGATTTCTTCATTTTTGCGCCGCAGGCAAAAATTTTAGAAATTTTGGAAGGATAACGGTCAGATTTCTTCCATTTTCAGCCATTTCACTGTAAAAATTGTAAAAATTTTACAATAGTAAAAATAGGGCAAAAATATGGCAAATGAAAAAATAGGGAAAAACTAGGGCGAAAAAGTCAAAAATAGGGCAAATGCCCTATAAATAGGGTAAAAGGGACACCCTGAAGGAGACTCTTAATACTGACCGACCCTTGCTTGGTATAAGAATAATTAATGACAAAAAATAATTTTTTAATTTTATATTCTCAATAAATCTTTTTAAACTTACATCAGGAAGTAATTTATCAGGCTGTGCCTCATCTCTCACAATTCGCACTGAGCCGATATTACCTTTGATTAACTATAAAATTAAAAAAAATAAATTTTTGTCGAGTAAAATAAAGGACCTGTTCATAACGAATTAATTGCCTCCAAAATCCAATATTTGGTCTAACTAAAGGCCGTTTTTCACACATTAAATGATAAGCAGCACGTAATGACCGAGTTCGATATTTGAGCAAATAGGCAAGACAAATACTTGCTGAACGGCTAACACCCGCAACACAATGGACAAGAACGGCGCCACCATCACGAATAATGGCATGCATCTGAGAATGAATTTTTCATAAAACTAGGATTAATTTACAAAATTAGCTTATATAAGGTTAAAGGAGGTTTATTTAAGGGTTCTAAACCGATTTTAAGTGGTTACGAGAATTCGTATACGGAAAAGGGAAGGAGGACTTCCTGCAAGCTGGGGGACCTTCGATAGTCACCCCTCGGGGGCCTCACGATAAAGAACAGTCCCCTAGAATCTTATAATTTAACTTCCAATGTATAGTTAGCTTGATCTCCTACCATAACCAATCCCATATTTATGGCAGTAATAGAGGATTTAAATGTAGGCCTGCCCCAAGACTAGGCTTCAAAATTTGTATTGCATTTTTGGACTTTTAACGAACTATGCTGTCTGAGTTCCTTTTTACTAGTTAAACAGTCACATGATTAAACATCCACCTGATCAGCAACCAAATCAAAATGAGCAAATAAATCCTCTTCAGGAGTATCCTCAACCCACAATTTCATTCTTGGTACTTGCCCCAAACATTTAAGGTTCGGAACCTCTCGTGTACAGTTAACAACTAATTGAATTCGAAAAACACAAATATTCGCTGCTGTAAGCCCATTAACACCACAAATGAATAAACCAGGAATTATTTCAGATAATTGGGCATAATGTTCATTTACACGGAATGATAAAGGTGGCATATTTTTTACTAATTTAATGTTGTATTTTTATGGAAGGATTTTTTTAAAAAAATATTTTTTAATTATTAAATGAAAGCAAATTATCTATGTGTGTCTAAAAAATAAAAAATAATTAAATTTGTCTATAATTTTGTCGAAAAAAATAATTCAAAATTTCTTAGAAATGGGAGAAATAATTAAAAAATATAAAAGAATGAATATGATTGGAAATAGAAATTGGATTGAGAAGATTGCTGAAGAAAAATTCCGATTACCGAGATGATATTATCCGAGATAATGATTTAGATTCGTGTATGACCCTCCTAAATCGATCTCTAGATGGATGGATATTGATAAAAAATAGAGTATGTATGTAGACTAATGAAGGAATTTTTATAAATGAGTTCGGATATCGAATCATATCCAGGGAATTTAAAGGATCAGCCAGCACTAATAATAAATATTATCAAAATAAATTAATTAATGAGAAGTTTTTTAAAAAGGTCATTAAATAAATATTTACTCAAAAGAGGAAGTTAAATATTTAAATTAATCTTTAGGTGATAAAATGTACATAAATTAAATTTAAAAAATAAAATTGAAAGATAATATTAGTTAAATAATTAATTATGATAGGCAAAGAAAGATATTATAAATAATAAAAGCTCAGATAAAACTTCGGGGTCACTTTAGTACGTGGGTCCCGGAGTTAATATACAAATGTTATACCATTCGAAAGAGCTCCTCGAGCTGAGTCGAATGACACCAGTTTTAGCCCGAGGAAAAATTTTTGGACCGAGATATAGGTCCCCGAAATTTGAAAAAGCATAGGGGGGACCAAGCACTTTTTTGGGGTGAAAAATTCGAATATGAGAATTATACCTCATTCGAAAGAGCTCGACAAGCTGAGTCGAATGACACCAAAATCACCGTGATTGAACAAGATTAGACAAAGTTATGACACAAAAAACAAAAAACCTAAACCTAAACCTATGGAGCGTCGGCGAGGCGCTTGTGCAAAACCCCGCGCTTCGCGCGGGGTTTTGCGGCACGCGCCTCGCGGGGAGTCTACGGGTGCTGGGTCTGGGCTCGTAACATAAACCTGTTCCTATCTCCCTTACTCTGGACGTATTTGGGGCCTCCGTAGCAGCAAAAATCTCCGCAGATGCCATAGGTAAGGAGCTAAAATAAAAGATCATAACTTTGTCCAATCAAGTCGGATTTCGTTGATTTTGGTGTCATTCGACTCAGCTCGAGGAGCTCTTTCGAATGAGGTATCATTTGCATTTTCGAATTTTTCACCCCAAAAAAGTGCTTGGTCCCCCCTATGCTTTTTCAAATTTCGGGGACCTATATCTCGGTCTAAAAATTTTTCCTCGGGCTAAAACTGGTGTCATTCGACTCAGCTCGAGGAGCTCTTTCGAATGGTATAACATTTGTATATTAACTCCGGGACCCACGTACTAAAGTACAGCCAAAACTTCAATAAATAAAAGTTGCGTCCAGCCCTGGGTCCAACCCTCGATCTCATTTCAACAGGAAGATTAATGAACACATTTTTTATGCCTGAGAGGTGTCACATAAACTCGATCCTAATCCACTTACGACAGTGAAATTCACTTTAACCTAAGCTAATTTGAGCATGAGAAGCTTTATGTGAAAGTGGCGTCTGATTATTCAAAACTCAAGACATTTTTACGACGAAACGGATTTAAAAATGTTCGTTAAGAAACGAAACAAAAAAATCTGGCCCTAATTTTTAATAATGAATTGAAGAATGCTGATTTTATTTTATTAATTTGAAGGTAATACACTTAAAATGACAAAAACTTATTAAAATAATTTAAAAATATTTATCTTAATTGTGATAAATAATTTAAAATATTTTTTAAACATTAATGATCACATTATCATTTAGTAATTTTAAGCATTATTAACATAATGATAAACTTTTGCGACTAAAAACTCAAAAATTCAAAAAAAGATTTTTACAAATTTTTCCTCGATGTTTTTTTTATTTTTAAGGGGTTTCACAATCATTTTTAATATAAAAAAGCCCCTTATTTTATGATTAAATGATAACGGAGAAATTAAAATAAAACAAATAAAATGTGAAATAATTAAAAAGGCCAAGGAATAAAGTAAAATACTTGAAAAAATTTTATTAGACAAAAAAAAAGTATCGAAAAGTAAAAAACTGAAAGAAAAACTGAATTCGCATGGGTAGATAAGGAAAAAATTAAATTGCGTTTTTATGCTTTAGAAAAAAAATTTATAAAAAAAATTGCAAAATTCTTAAAGACAAGAAAAAAACAAAACAAAAAAAGCTTTTCACGATTTCCAATCATGTTCCGGAAGCAAAAATGGAAGAACAGGAAAGATATAATATTCCAGAGAACTAATAAAAGAGGCCCCGGAAGGAGAGGTATTTGCAACAATTTGCTTTAACACACTCGCATTTCTGATAAAATTTGTAACTCTAGCTATAACGAAAATTAAGAAAAAAATTTCCTCTGAACTTAAAAATAATAAAGAAATGTGGAAGAAATCAAACAGCTGATGATTTAGATATATTCAAAAAGAAACTATGTAATAAATTAAAAAAAGAATAAAAAATAATTCTTTGTGTTTCTTATGACAAGGGATGTAATAAAAATAATTAAAATAAAAATAACTTTACATAGAATAAAAATAGAAAATAGAAAAATATGAAAAATCGAAAAACGTGGTAGGAAAATCAACTATAATATTTTTCTAAAGAAATTTCAATTTAAGAAATGTGATTTGAAAAAAATAATTTTTAAAATAATAAAAATCAAAAATTGAAGGATTGGTTATAAAACTTTAAGAGATATACAAAGAAAAGTTTAGGCAAAAAACAAAATTAGTAAACCTGAAACATCTTCAAATAATTAATTATTTTTTAAATAAATTTTTTTAAATTTATTTAAAAAATAATTGAAAAATAAATTTAAGATTTTTGTTCAATTGTTTACAAATTTTATTACTTTTTTCGAAACCTGTCAGTTAGCTTTACGGACTTTTGATGGATGTTTTTTAAATTATAGGGTAAATGTACTTTAATCTTTAAAATTTTTTGTTTTTATTTTTTCCTTTAAGAAAAGACCAAAAAAATTTTATGAAAAAATAAATTTAAAATTATCAGGCAAAAACAAAAAATTAGAAACGACAAGTATCTCTATTAACTTGTTTCGTGTTTTTTTTTTGCAAAATTCTAATTTTTCAGATATACGCGGATAAGTAGAGCGTTATCAGATATTAAAATCTGGATCCGGTTAAATAATAAAATAATATAATTGTGTTCGAAATGCAAGCTGGAAAAATTATTTAGCGATCTAATAATATTATTTAATATAGTGTTTAATTAAAAACGGAAGATTCATGATATCCTTAAAATAAAAGAAGATTCGATTTTAATAAAAAATGTTCAAAAATTTAAAGAAAATTAAAGAAAAAGATATCATTTGGACTGGGAATGCCCTCAATCAGTGTGTTCAAGTCCGTGGCAGGTATAAAGTCCGTAAAGTAAAAGAATTGAAAAGAAGTCTTTCATTTCAAGGTCCAAAAATTAGTGAAAAAATAACGAATGATAAATTTTCAAGATTAATTGATTGACAGAAAAAATTTAAAAAAATAATTAGAAAGAAATTAAAATTAAATTATTGACAGTTGTTGAGTTTATATTTTAAAAAAATAAAAAAATGAAATCAAAAATAACAACAACAGGAACTAGTTTTCTCAAATTTTCCGACACTCAGGGACGGGAAACAATTCTAATTAGGGTATCTCCGCGGGTCTTCTGGGTCGGATGTGTCGGGGATCGGGGTTGTCGGGAAGAGCTTCAGAATTCGGGTCGGGGTTTTGCCAAAAAAATTATCGGGATCGTGGCATGGAGGATGGGGAGCTACAATAATTCTAATGGTAACCAAAATCCTTCCATACTAAAAAATAATTACAATGATGATAATTCTTAAATTCTATTTTTAAATATATTTTTTCTTTTTTAAGAGATCTACATAATTTTTTTTAATTATCAAAAAAACTCTTATTAAATTTTGAATAATAAAAAGCTATTTTATACAAAAATTCCTTTTATAAGGCCAAACGCCAAACAATCCCGTGACTTAAAAAAAATAAAAACTGTGTGTAATTCTAAGAAAGGAAAACTAAAAATGAGGCAAAGAATAAATATACAACAAAACGTGATTATATTTAGTTGGACGCAAAAATTTGTTTAAAATAATAAAAAAAATTGAGAAGAAAATTGATTAAAAAATAAATGAAAAAATTGGTTATTGAGCTTTTGTTAAAGAAATTAATTAAATGTTAAGTTCTGAATATGTAGATGATAAAAAATAAAAAATTATTTAGTCAAAATAAAATGAAAAATATTAAAATTGAAAAAAATTTATTTAAATTAGTTATAGAAATTTCTTGGAAAATACTAAATTATAAAAAAATTAACTAGAGTATATAGGAAATAAATTGGATAAAAAAATGAAATTGGATAAAAAGTTCGCGCTTCGGGTAACATTGACATCTCTCTATTGTGCAATAAAATCCTTAAGCCTATTATCGATATACCCTTAGGCAGAGAAAAATCAGAGTTTTGAGTCGGGTTTCAAAAATTTATTTCGTGGGCATCCTTTCCACGGAGGTTTAAAATTAATATATTAAAAAATTAAAAAAAAAGAATAAATATTTTAAAAAATGCCAGTTAATTACTCATTAATAATTATTCATTTTTACTCATTTATTACTCATCCCATCCCGTGAAAAAAATCTTGTGTTTTAAACAAAATATTTTTGTATATTTAATAAAGTTTTAGTGTCCCTGAAGGTCTAGGTACTGTAACGGAAACAAACAAAACATTATTTGCCAGAACAGGGGGTGTTGTCGCTTCCGTGCCAATTTGTTTTTTTAAAACGGGTTTAATTTAGTCGGCTTTTGGAAAAGAAAAATAAATATATCTGAGAGCGTTAATTGAATCTATGCTGCCGATTTTGAGGATTTTTGAGGAATTCGTGAAAGCTCCTGGATCATCGCTCCTGGAGCCGGAGCTAAGATTTGAAAAATGTAGGAGTGGAGCCACAAAGAGCCCGAAAGCCAGTACTGTTAAAAAGAAGAGTTTGGTAAGGAACGAAAGAAAATTCTAAAAAAATTTTTTGGAAGAAAAAAATTTTTTGAATAAAAATAGTAATAAACAGAGAATATTTTAATACTTTTTTTACACATTTAAAGAGTAATTTTAACAAATTTGGGCAGGAATTGGAGACAATAAGAGCGAAAATCAATAGAATAAAAAATAAAAAAGGGACAGCTGACTGAGGACAATTTCCGAAACCTCACTTACCAAAAAAAATTTTTATTTAACATTAAAATTGTATCCATGCGGAATAATTAAAAATATTGTAAAGGCTGGTGAGAGTTATCGCAAGCTGAAGGAGGAAACTGCAGATTTTATTAAGAATAACGAAAAAAAATTTTCATTTGCATAAAACCCTGCCCGCCTCTCATAACAAAAATTATACCAACACAATTTTTAATATTTTCTCGAACGAGGTTTACTGTATTATTAAATAATTGCTCAATAAAATTTTAAAAATTTGAAATTAAATTAAGAAAGAGAATTATAATTAAGGATGAGAAAAATATGCAAGCAAATCGCTAAATATGCGCATATATATGAAAAAAAACCCCCAAAAATGCAAAATTTGCCAAAATATGCACCGATATGCAAATTTGCACAAGATGGCCTAAAAAATATTTAATTACAGTTTTTGGCCTCCATTCTAAAAATATTTTAAATGTGTGAATAAAAATGCTTTAAAAGCATTTTTAAACGAAAAAACTAGTTCCGTATTACAAATTGTAAAGTCATTCTGTATACTATGGACTTGTGCAGTTTTAAAATAAAATAAAATACTAACACAGAAAGGAACGGAATTATATAGCAAACAAAATCTATCCACATGAAAAGCATAAAATGGAAAAAAAATTTTTTTGTCGGATGAATAGGCGCTGAGAATAAAGTGAATATGTAGAGGCTGTCGTATTCACGTGAAATTCATATAAATGGACAAATAAATGGATTGTGGTGGGAGGGAAATTAAAGCAAAATAAAATGATTAACGATGTTGAAAGCTAAAATAAATAGAGGAGAGGGGGATATATGGGGAAATTGAACGTTATTGTACGAAGAAAAGCGGAATTGAGAGATTGAGGGGTTGCTAAGGAAATATTATATGTAAAATGAGGAAATTTGAGATTTTTTAATGAAAATGATGGATAAAGTTTTTATATTTTTTAAGAGGAAAAAAAGTTATTAATTATTTTTAGTATCTAATTTATGAAAATTTATAAAGAAATTTAAAAATTAACGTGAATTGGGAATTGAATATGCTTATAACAATAGTGAAGGAATTTTCTAGAAGTTAATGAAAAGGGAACGGTTGTTGTCTATTGATGGAGGTACTAGGATTATTATTATTAATAAAGGTCTGAAGGCATCGTGGAGTAAAGACCTGATTGAGTGAGATCTAGAACAAAACTCTCGATTAATCCCACATTCGTTAAAATTTTTTGCCCGAGGCGCTAAAAAATAAATTTAGTTGTGTTAAACAAATATTGCACATATTCATTTGAGTTCGCGCAGCTAAGCTCCCATGTATTTTCAAGATTCTTCGAAAAATGTCTTACGAAACTTCTACTCAGTTTTCTATCGTCGAGAGAATTTAGTCTCATTTAATTTTTGTTTCACTCTGCTATTTCTCCAGACAAACCAACATTATATTTAAATAAACTTATTAATAGCTTCCCACACACAAACATATCCGGTCTAGCTAAGTCACCCAGACTAGCTTTCACAATGCCCTTTTACATAAAAATTTTTTTCGACGAAATGCTAAAAAGAACGTCAAATAAAAGCTCCAAATATTATTGAGGGGTCTACAGAGAAAAATAAATATTAGAAAAAAAAAGGAAAAGAAAAAGAAATAAATTTTAAAAAATAGTAGAGAATTAAGCAGCTGTCGCTAAGGAATAAATAGACAAAATGACAGACAGTCTGTCTTTTTCTCTCATTTCAAATTTTAATTTTTGTGGTGCGACATTTGATGACAAGACATTTGAGGATTAATTAAGTACAAAATCGGTGTTAAAAATGATAAACAGAGGTTAATTTTATAAAAACAAGCTGGCAATTAATCATAAAATGATATAAAGTTTGAAAAAAATTATGGCAATGAATTTAAGTTATGGCTTAGAAACAAGAGGTCGGTCGGCTTTCCGATTTTCGTCGTATTTTCATTCAGATTTCCGAAATTTATAGAAAAATTTTGTATTTCTGATAATTTTTGAAGCATCGTTCTAACTGATCATTTTGTCAGAATTTCCAAAAATTTACGCCTGCGGTGCTGAAATGGAAGAAATCTGGCTACATGATCTTCAAAAATTTTTTTCAAAAACTAATTTTGATCTTCATACTTTAAAATGAGCCTACTTTTAAGCTTAATCTTTTGAAACTAAAATGTCTTATTTAACTTATTTAAAAAGTCGGTCCGCAAATGTCGCATATCCTGTCTTCTTATTCCTTCTCTTCCCTAAGCGGCTGGTAGCAAAAAGAGAGAAAAATATTTTTTATTGGATTCACACTGAATTCACGTGAATTACATTTTGTTGGTTATACATAGAAACGCGGGTAAACAAAAAATAGGGAAGAAAAAAACCTTGAGCTTTGAGAAGTTTAGAGGAGTATTTAATGCGTACCTGTACATAAAGTGCAGCTTTTTTAAAAAATATTTAAAGGGGGAATTAGTCTATAGAAAATTGTTTACGGTTATGTTTTAAAATTCTGTTTGTAAACAGATTTTGAATAAATAATTTAAATATAAACGGAAAAAAAGATACAATTTTTTAAAACGTTGAATAAAAAATTTTACTTTATAAAAATTGAGCTTAATGGAAAATTTACGAAGAAATGAACTAAATTAGAAAAGAAAATTGAAAAAATAAAGTATTTTCTCGATTATTTACCCCCTCTAGGGAAGAGGGTAAAAAAATAATTACCCATGGTAATTAGGCATATTAAATACTATGCACAAATGACATTATACATATGTATCTGGTTACCGATTATACAGCTCTAAAAGTAGACAACAGATGTCGATACAATAAAAATTACTTATTTTCGGAAATGGAATTTCCTGATTAAAAATGTAGGGGATTTTCAATTTAATGTAATCTCCAAAATTTTTGGACTTATGAACCAGCACGGTATGATCAATTCTTAAAAGATGAGGCTGTATTAGATTATATGTAAATAATAAAAGGAAATGCTCATTTATAAATTTTTCTTTTAAAAACATGTCCTTTTAATTAAACAAAACTAATTATTATTTACAAATTAAATAAATGAATTGTAAAAAAGAAAAAATATTTACTAAATACCTGTTGATTTTCTAACCCTTCTCAAGTCTATTTCCCAAAACAAATAATTAAACGGAAGTAAAATTTAAATAAAAATGGATTTTGACGGAAATGAGGAAAAAATGAAGTAAGTATAGGTGTGGGCTGTTTAGAAATAATCTAAAGTTTAGCGACACATAAAGAGAGGATCTCTTATACATCAGAGATCCTGTTCCGACATAAAAATAAATAACAATTTTCGGTAGGTTCCGGAATTTTATTGGGGCTTGGAAGGAGATCGATGATGGGCACTGAAGCTAAGACAGTTGATATTTTATAAAGAATCAAGTAAAAATTAAAATTAAAAAATAAATATATGAAGTATCAGAAGCTATTAAGATGCTATTTAGGAATTAACAAGGATATCGATGGATTTGGGAGAATTAAGGGCCTTAAACTTGAATAATGACTCGAAACTTGTTGCAATTCTTTCCTCAATAGTAAATGATAATAAAAATTTTAAAAACTGGAATCTTTTGATTTCTAGAAGTTAAAGAATAATATTTATGAATCTGGGGTAAAGTAAAATGGAAATAATTTTAAAAAATAGAATAACTTACATAACAATAAAAATTTCGATACTAAAAATATAAATATTTACTAATAAATAAAAAAAGGTTTTTTTTGTTTTCCCAATACTTGCCCTTTTAAATTTAATTTTTTTTGTTTATTTTAGTTTGGGAAATGCTGCAAAACACTCGAAAATTTAGAAAGGTAAAATAGTAAAAGGCTGAATAAACGCGCATAAAATGGGGAAAAATAATATTTTCAGCTGAAAATGTGAGAAATTCACGTGAAAATATATTTATGTAAATATTATAAGAGAAAAATATAATTTATTTTTAATAAACAAATTATATCTATAAAACTCTAAAATAGAATTCGGACAGAGTCGGGCTCTGAAAATCGGAATTTTCAGTCAATGCAAGATGTTAAAGCGAGGAATAACGCAATTTAAACTAAAAAGGAGTTATTTTAAGAATTTTAAAAGTTAATACTCTTTCACAACAACATTTATAAATGAATATTTAAAAGTTTACTGACAAGTTTTAGCTAGAAAAAATAATAGAGAATAATATTTACAAAGAAAAGGATTATTCATTTATTTTCAAATGAATTTCACGTGTATTTTTGTACTTTTCATATGAATTTATTTTTAAAAAATTTTGCTTTTGAAGAAATATTTTTGTAGTAATAAAATGGTAAACAGATTTTTAAAAATAGAAAAATATAAAAATATTTTTCTAGTCAAAATAATAAACATGTTTTCAAGAATTACAAAAAAATAAAATTTTGTAAATTTTTTATGAGTATTATTCGAGAATATATATTTGGAATTTTGTAATTAAATATTTTTTTATAAATTATCAATTTAAATTTCATAAATTTAATGTAGGAAATAAGCCCTTTTGTGTTCGTACTTGCAGATCTTAAGGCAACATATTATATTCGTTTTTTAACATTCTTGAAACGCAATTTGAGACAAATAATAGCACAAAAAATGCTTCAAAAATTGGCACAAAGCCAACTGTAAGAAAAAAAGCACAAATGGTGCACAATCACAATAATTGCACAAATAATACTTTTGCTGAATTTTTTCGAATTGAAATTTCGAGTATGAACACTGTCGAAGTTCATAGTCTTATTACTCTTTCATATTATATTTGCGCTTTCAACTGCAAAATGTAACTAATTCAATAGAACCTATTTTACATGATTAACAAAATTAAACTTTAAACTATTTATTAATCACTAGTCGCTGTCTTCAACAGCTGTTCGAAAGCTTATGTTTCTATTGCTGTACCTTTTTAGGTTGCCACAACGATTTGTATTAGTGATTTATGTTTTTAATTCTTCTTAAATTTTAAGAGGAAAACATGAAAATGATAAAATTAAGCTGTTCTTTATAACAAAGTGGTGATATCAAAAGAAATTTTTCTTCAAGCATTGATTTTATACCAAATTCTCTTATCTATAATATTTTTTAAAGGTTTAAAATAAAAAAATCAAAGTCTTTTTTATCATTTTATTTAAGTAATATGTATGTAAGAAAAAATCTGTCATTTTACATATTCAATTGACAATAAGAAACCCTAGCGAGTTGAAAAAGAACCTTGAGTTGAGTTGAAAAATAACCCTTGTGCAGCAAATACACACATGATTTGAAAATTCGCGAAAAACCTACTTTAAATTCAAATCATTTTATCACTTAAAAATTTATATAAAAATGACGTCTGATCAACAAAATGGAAAATCTCCATTTTTGCCAAGAACAACGATGGATAACGAGGAAAACAAAAACAACACCAACAAGTTTAGGAGAACAAACATTAATTCTCTTTATTCCTTCAATTTCAATCGGTTCCATTATTGTGTTTTGTTATGCTGGCTGTTTGGAATTTTCTTCGCAACCCAAATGATTTTTTCCGTATTTTCAAATTATATACCAAAATGGAAATGTTTATCAAATAATACCACAAATTTTGCTAGAAATTGTACAATATATCAACAATGTCCAGAGAATTTGATACAATTTGAAGAGAACATACCTTTTCATTCAGCGGCAATGGAATTTGGTTGGATTTGTGGAGCTAATGCATATAATCGAGCTTTATTTAGGTAAGCTGTCTTTGGATTGGAAGTTAAATGAATAACTTATATTCGGAGAAAATTACTCTCTTATCAGGAGCGGGGCGCGAATCCGTCAATTAAAACAGATGCCTTTAATTCCTAGCACCGTTTCAGGAGATTGCCGGCGTTTTTACCAAGAGTAGCAAATCACTCTTGACAATAACTCTTGGTGTAGCCGAATCAACGCATTAAGATTATGTGTAACAAATATATTATTGATAAATAGAAACTGCTTTAAGAACAAATTGGAAAGTAAGGGCCTGACAATAATTTAAATTAAAAGACTGATTCTGAATCAAATCAGACTTACTATCATTTATAAATTTTTGCCCGGGGTTCTCTTGCCTTTAGGAGGCGTTCAAATGGAATTGAAATAATTATATCCCAACTTTTTAATAAACATTCTAAATTAAAAATTTTTAAACTAAAGCCAAATTCAATTTGCCGGTGTGCTCATTGGCACTTTAACTTTTGGAGTAATATCAGATGCATTTGGTCGTAAACCAGTTTCTATTTTAGCATTAACTGTTGGAATTTCTTCAATGTTTGCTACTGGTAATAATCAATTTTAGTGGCATTTTAAAATTTTTTCATAAGCATTTGCACCCAATTGGCATTTCTTATTAGCTTGTCGTTTTATTCTTGGCCTCTGTATTGGAGGAGATTTAGTTGTTGTATATACTTTTGTGATGGAACAATTATTACCACCTCAAAGGATGGCAATTAGGGGATTTTTTAATTGGGTATTTCAATTTTTGAGGAGAGGGGGGGGGGTTATAATTTAAGAAAGAGCAAAAGCTTGGAGCCAGGAGCAACTTCGTGTGGCTGCTATTGTAAGATGCTTTTGTGGGTTGAGAACATCTCGGTTTAGTGTCGAAATTATGTCCAGCTTTCGGTCATTGGTTCGGATTAGTTAAAGGATTTTGTGAGAAAAATTGTCGAGTTGGTCTGACTTTTATTTTTTTAATTGATTTTAAACCCCAAGCTAGTAAGCTTGATCCATTTCTTCCAACTCGATCCAGTTCCTCCCTTTATGAGTTAAAAATCTTGTTTTTCAAGGGAGTTGCTCGCCTAATATTTACATTGATTTGTATGTTCTTTCCTGATTGGCGCTCTTCAAGTATTGCTTGTGCTATATTTTCAATGCCTGCATTAGTTATTATAATATTTTTAATGCCCGAAAGTCCAACATGGCTTGTATTTTTAGAAATATTTTTTTAAACTTTTAAAAATATTTTAAAGCATAGTAAGGGTCGTCTTGAACAAATGCGAATAAATGAAAGAAAAATTGCTCGGTTAGCAGGTCTTCCACCGACAATTAAATTGCCTGAACATGAAAAATTATCTCCAAACGAAAATTCATTTTGGAATTTAATCAAAGATAAAACTCTTTTGAGACGTGTTTCTGTTCTTTGGGTTATGTGGCAAGTGAAAAAGATTATCTGAGTATATTCTAAAAATTTTTTTAGGTTCACAGCAGCAATTTCAGGATATTCTATAGATTTGAATAGTTCAAATATTAGTGGCGATCTTTTTCTAAATCAAGTAATGCCATTTTTTAAGAAGTTCGATTTTCTTTTGGAGTGGCTAATTTTAGATCTGAACCAAACTCGAACCGAAAATTCTCGGTTCTTCGATTCGGTTCCGGATATCAAAAATTTTTAAAGATAGTTTGTTGACCGGTAATAGTTGAACGGACGGTCCCCGATTTTTGGTTATGGACATTTTGATCAAGGGTTCGGTTAATGTGCCATAACACTTCGTTCCGGTTTAGCATGAATACGAGTCCTGGACTTAAAAATCTATCTAGCGTTTTTTAAGACTAGTTTGGGCCCTGTTATATTTCTTAAAACAATTAGTATTTTTAATGGTTCTAGGCTTATAAAAAATTTTTTATTTTAAAGAGCCTTCTTTCGTCGATATGTGCAATTTCTAAAATATGCCTTGTTATAGTTGATACTGTATTTCCAAAATTTTCTCGGCGTAATCTCCATCAAGGAGCACAACTTGTAGTAATTATATCTGCATCACTTCTAGTCTTCTTCGTTTTTTATGATTATGATGGGATTGGAATTCTTTTGGCTAATTTAATTGGAATAACTTTCATTGAATTAACTTGGTTGTTATTTAATTTTAAACGGAATTCGACCCCATCACACCTCCTCAGACCCCAACCCGTGTAAAGGATCCCTGACCAATGGGAGTTCAAACGAGTTTCTTCGAAAGAAGCTCCCGTGGGCCCTTGTCTCCGTTTTTAAGCACCCCCTTATCTCAGTAAAATCGTTCCATGCCCTGTAAGGTCACACTCGTTTTAATCCCTAAAGATTTACAAAAAATATGACAAAAGATTCAAAAAATATTTTTTTCAATTTTTAGGGATGCCTGCTATCTCTGGTTCAACTATTTTAACAATCATATTAATTAAAACAATTTAAAATAATTTTTAGTGCCGTAGAATCGGTGCCAACATCATTGAGGTTTTAATAATTTTATTCCTCAAATGAAATAATCCCTTAATGCTTAGAGCCTCATCAGTTGGTTCATGTTCATTAATAGCTCGTATTGGTACCTTAATTGCCCCAGTGGTCTTTAAAATTTACAAAAAAATTTTTCCAAATTTATTATTTTCAGTTAGTATTTTTAAACACTCGTTGGCCTGCAAGTGTTTATTTAATTATTGTCTTAATTGGGTCAATAAATTTGTTGATTTCTTGGTTATTTTTAATCGAAACAAAGGGAATTAATTTGGATTCTGTACATTTACATGAAGATAATAAACAACACGAATTTATTGGGAACGAAGAAATGAAAAGTCTAAAAATTGAAGTAATTAAAAGATAAATTTTGCTAGAGCTTTGTAAATTTTATGATTTTTTTTGAAATTTTCGAGCCCTTTCTGGTAATATTTTGCTTCGTACTACGCATTTTTCCTTTACTTTTTTTATTCCACTAGAAGGTGGGAATTAAGTGCTTTTTTGATATTTTTGAGATTTGCCATATATAATATTTGTGTTGAGTTCGAACTGTTAGAGATTTGTTTAGTGTCGAAGGCCTATGAGGTGGTTATAATAATTACCTCATAATCATCTATGAGGTAATTATTTTCGTTTAGGCGTTTTTTTCTTTCAATTAAAATTCTTTAAGCTAAATTAAATATATAATTTTAAAATTCAAGAAACGTTGCTTATACATTATAATTTAATAAAATTAATATCCAGTGGGAACATAGGGGTACAACGCTTCTTGACGTTAGAAAGAACAAACAAGTGATAATTATTAAATTTTATTTACAATAAATTTTTAAAAAATTGTTCCTTAATTGCCTGTTTACATTTAAAAGTATAATTTTCAATTCTCATTTCAAATTGTTACATTTAATATTTTTCCCTCAAAAAGTATTATTTAATTTCGTTTAAAAATTAAATTATATAGAATTATTTAAAAAATCTAATTAAGATTTAAGTTTTTGCGTTAATGGTAATAACTAAATGTTTCTTTAAATTATTATACTATATCACACGTTTATGTATTAATATTCAAAGAAAATTAAATTAATCTTCATATGTACATAGTACATAAAATCAGAAAAATTATTTTTTAATTTTAAAAATTAAATTTCAAAAATTTTTCAAAATATATAAAATATTACGTATTTTACGTAGTTTTTAATTCTTCCTTAAATCAACCTTTGTTATTCATCCGTATTGCGTTTCCTGGGTCTTAATTAAATTTAGTAAAAATTTAAAACCGGATAATGAACAATTCAACAACTCTTCCGGTAAGTTTATTAAAAATAATAATCGCCCAAGTCCATTCCTAATGAACTCAAAAAAGGGCTGGATTAAAAAAACAATCACAATTTTTAAGATTAATCAAGACCTATCCGTTTTATATAAATTAAATTTAAGGCAATTTTCCTGGCATATCAAGATCCTGGCTTCCATCTTCCTTTATTCCTTCCAGCGCTATCATTGACCATACCGGCAACAATTGGAATTATTCTAAATTCAAGTGTTTGTTATATTACATGGAAATATTGGTATTTATTTGCGAGATTTAGGAGTTTAGACTAAAATTTCCTTTGACTCTTGTTTCCGAGATTTCCAAAATATGGGAAAAGTAAACAATTTAGTTTAACTCGTTTTATGTTGGGATGTATTTCAATTATAAATCTGCATCATTCTTGAAAACCCTTCCTTAAAAATTACAAGTAGAGCTTTCTTGAAATACACTGCTGGAAATAGGTTCAGTGATTGGAAGCTCGTACCAAAATTTGTATCCGTACCTGTGTACGATTATGAGAAAAAAATTATGCATTTATTAATACGAGTAATCTTCAAAATTCAAATCAATGGTTAGGTCATTCACCAAAATTTCAGATTTGCTCTTTCCCGTATGAGTACTTTTTTGCTCATACTTGTACTTAATACTACTTATCAGTATTTTTGGACTCATAAATCAAACTAGTACACGTACTTATAGGCCCAAAATCACGCATTTTGTTTGTTTTTATTAGCGCTGGATAGTTTTTAAATTTTGAATAAATAAATTTAGGGGCAAATATACAACATTCAAATCCAAAACGAGTATTTTATTAGCAATTAACTCATTATTGGAAATTGGTCATCAAAGTGGACATTTTGTCTTCTTTTTCATTACTTTGACTGGAATAAATTTTATACCAGTCTCTTTGGCGATTAAAATTCAGGGTCATTCTATTGTTTGTGATAATATTGTTATCATAATGTTTTTCACTATGAGCGTTGAGAGAGTTATCGCAGTTGCATTTCCAATTTTGTAAGTATTTTTAAAAGGAAATACTTATAATATACCTAATTAATTCAAGTAATAATTGTTTCAAAATATATCTTAAGGATTTAAGAGGGATGCTTAATTCGGGATGACTTTCAACACATTGAGACAAATTTGATTTATTTTTTCAAATTGATTCGTAAAATTTTCCATTAATTATATTAATAATGATTTTTTAAATATTTCTGAGTAGGAGAAATATTGGTCAAGTTAGAGGGTATTGCCTAAACATATCCGGTATTCTCTCTCCAATCAGTAATTAATTTAATAATCTCATTAGAATTTTTGCGAAGAGCCACTTTATTAGGAAAAATACGGTATACAGGATATGCCCTCTCTTGAATATATTACCCTCTGTCGAATAATGCACTCTCTCCATCCCTCTCTCCATCTAACAAAAGGTTAAAACAATAATCAAAGTAATTATTCGAGCATATACGGTATACATAAATTAATTTAAACAATTTTTAAATTTTTAGTTATGCCAATATGAATTTTCGTTTCTACATATTCTTACATATATTGCCAATTTTTACTCTTTCCGCATTTATTCTTTATCAAATGCTGTCACAAATTGTAGCACATCCAGACCTTCCTGTAACCGGCAATCTTGCAGATATTTTTGGATTATCCTCAATTATTGATAGTAGATTAATTTATGGACCTCTTTTGTTAGCTTCAATTTTGCTTCATATAATTGTCGGATTTTTGGTTAAATATAAAGGAGGTTTGACTTTATTAATGATGATTAGGGAACGGATTAATATGGACTATCAATCGGAAAATATGGACATATAATATGGACTGAAGATCTCAAAATATGAACTGAAATATGAACTAAATCAAAAATATGGATCAAATATGGGCCGCAAACTGAAAATTTTTAACGGAAAATTTTCATTTATAAGCAGCAAAATGTTAATTTAGTTAATTTTGATGCATAATAATACAAATAGGTCAATTTATATTAGTTCTTTTGTTTCTGAAAATACTTTGGAAATATTTTAGTAGAAAAAAATTTCGAAAACTTTTGTCAAAAAATTTTTCAAAAAAATTTGTAAATTTTGTCCAATTTTTGGCAAAATTTTACAAAAAATGATAACTTTATACGGCCTTATCAAAATATGATAAAACTAAGTTTTTTGGACGTTTTAGAACCCAACTAGGCCAGAAAAAATATGGAAATCCATATAAATCCGTTCCTTTATATTGATTTACTATCTATAATCAGAAAATTTGAAATAAAAATCAAAGTTTGAAAAAATTTCAGAAAATTTGAATATTTTTCAATTATTCTGTGTTAATGTTTTTAAAGCTGAAGGTGTTTAGGTAAATGCTACGCTTAGGTAATTCGGCATAGGCTCTATAGTTGGCGTAAGCTCATTGCCTAAAAACCTCGATATCGAAAAGTTTCTAAATAGTAATCTAGTTTAGTTTCGATTACTTGAAAATTTGGGAGAAAAAAATGGGAATACATAACTTTTATCGGAGTTTCTGATAAAAATTTTCGGACATTAATACCCTAAAAAAGGCAATAAATTGTGGTACTATAATTATGAATTACAGCCCATTTAATATGTTTATATTTTAATTTTTAGATTTGGCAAACGAAAAGCTACGAAAATTATTTCGTTCACTTTCCTTAATAGTTTTTGTAAATATCGGAGGATATTTTATCTTAAATGCCTTAGTTTGTTTAATTATGGCATTTTTATCTATCTCTCCAGAAATGTTATGGTATTTAATTGGATATTTGGCAGTTATTCTAAACATATCTGCAGCTGTTAATGCACCAATTCTTTACTTTAATAGGTACACAATTTTGAATTTTAAACTTAGAGGGCCTCTGTATACACTATATCACCACAAATCCATGATATCCTATCCACTTACATTCAATTATTGGAAGCCAAGTCCCCTTATACTCTCCTTTGATCCTCCCACCCATATCCGTCTAAATCCAGTCTACTAAATAATCAAATATGTAAAGCATATAGCTATTAATTTCCTAATGCTACGCTTACATAAAAATCGCGCGCGACACGCGACAGAAAAGATAATGGAAAAAGAGGAGAGAAAAGTCGCCGGCGACTTTGTCGCTTTTTTTGCGTGCTTACATAAAAAGCGACTTCCGCCGGCGACTTGTCGCGCGCGACTTTGTCGCTTTTTTGAGTGCTTACATAAACCGCGACTTCCGCCGGCGACATGTCGCGCGCGATTTTGTCGCTTTTTCGTGTGCTTACATAAAATGCGATTTCCGCCGGCGACATGTCGCCGGCGACACTTTTTTTGATTCAAACATGTTTGAATTTTTGGCGACACTTTTTTGCAACATGCTATTTCTCGATCAATTCTGATCCGATTTTAGAAATTTAAAAAGATTCTGAAAGTTCAGTTTATTCTCTATCGATCAATATAAATTTTATATTTTTAAAGTTAAATCTTATGGGTCAAAATTGATTTTGAAAAAGGTATACTTTTTGCAAAAAATATTCTTTTTTTTCGATATTTTGAGATTTTCAGTATGCTATCGAGTATTTTTATCATAACTTTTTATCAATCGGTCAAAAATTCTGAATTTTTTATATGTTGTAAAGCTTTTGATTCTCTATCAAATGATACCAAAAATACGAAAAAGTGACCATTTCTTGATGAGTAGGGCTCGTCCCATATAGTTGGGGACAAAAAATTTCGTGGAAAATCCCATTAAAAAGCCCATAAAATTTCGTGTAAAATCAAAAAATTTCGTGGAAAATCCCATTAAAAAGCCCATAAAATTTGCTACAATTTAGCCTAGGCTTTTATTCTTCCAACAAAAACTCGTGAAGATAAGGCAGGAATATTTCTTAGGAATATTTCTTTTTCTTAGGAATTTTCTAGGAATATTTCTTATCCTTTGAAGTCTAATTTTTTGGCATTAATCTACAAAGTTTTAGATGGAAAATCATTTGTCCATAAACATATGACCACCACTAATATATTTACACTAAATATTTTTCCCGGTTTCCCGGTGAAAAAAGCCGGGATCGGGTCCCGGACCCGTTCCTAACTCTAATATCAATGGAAAAATTAAAAAAAACCCACAATATAAAAGCCACAATAAAATAGTGGCAACGAATTGTCCTATACATTACAGTACTCTGACTTTCACCAACGTGAAAAATAGAGATAAATAAATAAAGAAAATATAGAAGAAAAAGATAGAAAGACTAATAATTTTGTGCTTACATAAAAATCGCGCGCGATTTGCGACGTCGCTAGGCGACATGTCGCCTAGCGACGTCGCTGCTTTGTGCTTACATAAAAATAGCGTTTTGTCGCTTTGCGACAGTCGCTTTTGCGGAAATCGCCGATTTTATGTAAGCACACAACTAGCGATTGTCGCCGGCGACATGTCGCCTAGCGACTGTCGCGTGTCGCGCGCGATTTTTATGTAAGCGTAGCATAAGGCTGAGCAGTAGGCGGCGTGGTGTAATGGCTAACACATCAGTCCGGTCTACTGAAGATGCTGGTTTGCTCCCAGCCGCCGAATAACCTTTTGCACTAGCTAAAGGAGAGAAATAGCTATAGCCCAGCTGCTTTACTGGTAGCACCGGATGGTTCAGCGAACGCTGAACGAATGACGATCCATCCCATAGGCCCTGGGTTAGAGAAATGAAAATTCCGCCAGAGAAGGCGATGATTAAGCTACCCCGCATAGTGAGAGAAAAAGCGGGAAGAGGGCAGATAAGAAGACTAGGGACAGTCTTCCCTGGGGATGGAGGTGTAAAGCATATAGCTATTAATTTCCTAAGGCTGAGCAGTAGGCGGCGTGGTGTAATGGCTAACACATCAGTCCGGTCTACTGAAGATGCTGGTTCGCTCCCAGCCGCCGAATAACCTTTTGCACTAGCTAAAGGAGAGAAATAGCTATAGCCCAGCTGCTTTACTAATAGTATCGAATTAAAGACCAAGGAATCATATCTCTACCATTTTCAGCGCCGCAGGCGAAAATTTTTAGAATATTGGAAGTCAAGTGCCAAATTTCTCCCTTTTTAAAGCGCCGTTGGCAAAAATTTTGCGAATTTTAGAGGCCCAAGAAGCCAGTTTTTTAAAATTTTAAAAATAGAATGTGGACATCAAAAAAGTTCAGTTCTTAGGAGTGTAAGTTTCTAAAAGCTCAAAAAAGTCAAGACCAAGACTACACTCCAAGACCAAAACCAAAAAAGCCCAAGAGTCTTGGACATCTCTTTGGGCAGCCTACTGGGTATGAATCAGATGTAAAATATTAATTTGATAAATATTAAGCAAATATTTGAAAAATTTACTAAATTTAACTAGATTTTGAAAAGTTTTAAAATTTTTTAAAAATCTCGGTTATCCTCGGTCCTCGGTCTCGGGTCAAAATTAGCCCCTCGACCTCGATCTCGGCTTTTCCTGCCTCGGTGATCCTCGGTCTCGGTTTTTCAAAAAACCTCGACCTCGTGCTACTCTATCATAGACTCCCTTTTGTTGAAATTTTAAAATTTTTGAATAATTAAATATTTTAGTACTGATTACAATGCTGCGTATAAAAAAGAATTTGGGATAATCAAATCAAAATTAATTAAAAATAATACTGTAAATCCTTCAATTATATTATACAAATAAAATTTATATGTAATTCTAAATTTGTTTTTGTAATGAAAGGAATTTAGTATATAAATATGTAATATAAAGACTAAGTATTATTTTATTACTAAAAGTATGGTTGTCGGTTCAAACTGAACCGAAAATTTCGTTTTGATTTATATTAATTATTTAATATCATAGCTCCTTTCCCTTTTGAGGAGCTTGTTGGCATTGGGTGCTAAAAAGAGCCATCATTTACCTTTGGAGTGCTCAAAATCCATTAATTTAAATCACTCTTCTTATATACATATTTATTTAACAAATTATTTATAAAATATGAGGGAAGAGAACCGGTCATCTTTTGTTCTGGACCAAAAACTGGAGCTTGAATGAATCTTTCATCGCCTTTTAAGGAATTCAAAATAGGCAAAAAATTTAATAAACTGAAACCAACAACCCACTAAAGAATAATTCTAGAAACTTGAAAATTATTCTTTTAGTTCATTAAAATATATATTTAATAATTAAATGTTTCTTTAAAATTAAGATAAAATTATTAAAAAATATTATTAAGTTAAAAATTATTAACAAATATAAGTGACTTATTTATCCAAACGTTATAATTAAAGCTCGATTAACTAAAAGTTTTGTTCAAATAATTTCTAATCCCTGATACTAAATTTTTTCAAATTATTTAGATTAAAAATTCTTGGTAACGGACATAACTATTTAATGGTGGACAATTTATTTTGTAAAATTTATCAATATATTTTTTTTCCGAAACAATTGCTCTAAAATTTTATCACATTTCTCGATACATATTAACTTTAATCAATAAAATAATTTTTAAAATAAAAATTTAAAAAAAGTTGTTAGAATATTGCCAACACTTTTTTATTACTTAAAATTTTTCCATCAAAATCAATCTCCGTACTTAGCTATAGAATTTTACCTTAAAGCATGGGTTTGTAAAGCATGGGTTTTATGTTGTTCAAATAAAAACTAGAGAAAGAAACATTTAAATTCATTGACGTTAAATAAATTTTTAAATTAATAAAAATTTATTTGAAATTTAAAATAATTAAAATTTTCTAAACTATTTTTACTAAATATAGCTGTAAATTATTTTTTAAACCCAAAATTAGAAAAGAAAAATTTTCTAAGAATGCTTTATAAGATTAGGAAACGTGTATAGTATATATAATATTTCAAGACGGCAAAATTTATTTATTTATTGTATTACTTATTTATTTATTCTAATTTGTCTAATTTGTAAAACCACATCTTTAATTGAGCCACTGACACTAATACTATAAGCATAAGAATGGAGAGGTGAAACTAAGTGGTTCTTAATTATAATTAAGGCTGGGAATTAAAGGAAATATAATGATTCCATTTAATAGCCAGTCCTAATAATAATAATACACTCATGATACCCTAACAAAACGTAAGGAAAGGCGAAAAGTTACTTACAAGAGGGCAATGCATTCATTATTCAAAAAAATGATAATTTTTAAAAATGTTCAAACCCTTGAATACTTTTAAAAATATAAATATGATCGGTATAGTTTCTGAAATTATTTTATAATAAAAATATAATTTAGAATAAAATAATTAAAAATGGCTACCTCAAAATTTTGTCTGCTTTTATTTTTTATTCCATTTGCTAATCTTATTAACTGTAAAAATGAAAAAGAAACTGGTCATGATAGCGAAGCTATTTTTAAATTGCAAGCAAGAGCCAGACTTGCAACTTGCCATCATGGAGTTGGTGTTCTATTATATATTGGAATGGGGGAAATATCAATTGCTACACCTCCTACAGGAGGGCCAACTGAATTGGAAGTTGCTAAGGTATTTGACTTTATTTTTAACTTATTATACTTCAATTATTCCAAAAAAATGAAAGCAAGGCCTTGAAAGAAAAACAAAAAAAAATGAAAACAAGGACAAAAGAAAATCAAGGCCTTAAGTCTCATAAAGCTCTATTAATTTAATAAATTTAAAGCATAGCAAAGGTTTATCTGCAGGTTAGGTATCAGCAGGGCTTCTATAGCGTTGATCAGCAGAGCTTCTACAGTGATCAGCAGATGCAGTGCTACCAATTATGTAGATATCAAACCTTTTTTTCTCTCTCTTTAAAATAGTTTAACCCTTGCCCCTGATAGAAATAAATTAAAAAGTATTATATTCAAAATTAGAGAAATATTTATCCATTTCAGTAGGAAATTCAAATCAAATAAATATTAATTTTAGACTCAACATTTATTACAAATAGCTACCGAGCTCGAAAAGAGTGTCAATATTCTGAAAAATTCTTATGATAAAGATACAGAACCACCCACTCAAGAGATAATTCATTGTATTCAACTTTATGTCGATGCTTATCAGGCGGTTTTGAATTTTTAATTTTTGATTAAAAAATAATTTTCTTAGGCGAAATCGAACATTAGCAGTGTTGTAGTACCCAAAGATAATGCTCAAATAACTTCATCAATTGGAGCGATGATGCGCGAGATTGCGCCATTGATGGCAACAATTAAAAAATAAAAGAATAAAGTAAAGTAAAGAATGGGTGAAATACTAATGGGAATTAATTTTGGTGTTTTGATAAATTAAATTTTTATTTGGGTTAATATTGAAATTAAAAGGAATAATGGGTAATTTATTAAGATTATTAATGAGATGTAAAACAAATTAAATTTTCATAAAACTGTGTAATACACTCAAAACACTCGGGTAAGGGTAAATATCTCAAAACTTCAATTTGTCGTGGTACCACACTTATTTTTAACCTCGTACTTCGTAAGACTCCTATTTTTGCTCTTATTTTATACCACGTACGAGGTACGAATACGAATTTTGGGCACTTATTTTGGTACACTTATATTTCTCGGTATAATTATAATTTAAATTTTTAATTAAAAAAATAATACATTCTATAACAAAATTTTAGACTAAAAGAAAAAAATTAAAAGCTCGTTTTTAGCTTTTCTCTCATTCTTGCGCATTTTCCCGGATTTTCTTTTTAGCAAAAAATAAATATTGGGTAGAATTGATTAGTCATTAATAAATTTATCTATTATTTATTTTTAAAATAATTATTATTTCCTATTAAAATTATTACTAATTTATTAATAACATTACTAATTTGTTTAATAAATAATTAAATAAATATACATAATGTTCTTCCAAATACAAAAAGTTGAAAATTACTTACAAAAATGTTTATTTTATTTATTAATTAACAATCTTTTATTTTCAAACACTTTTCTTTTCGTTAATGGAACAAGAATAAATTCTACAAATTTTAACGAATTTGAGGGAGAGGTTTGAATAAGATATAAAATGGTTTATGTATATCGAAACAGAATAATGAATTCTGTTTCGATAATATGTATTTATCATAATATATAGTAAGAGCGAGGTAAAAGTTTAATCCCGGGCAGGCTTCGATCCTGCGACCTCCTGGCAGTTATTGCTAGGCGCTTTCGCTCACCACGTACAGGTGCTCTACCAACTGAGCTACCGGGACGCTGCTTTCACCTTCTCTTTTATTAGATCTTAAACCCCCGCAGTCAGCGTTTTAAATGCTAGCCAGCTGGATCTTCTCTCTTTCTCTGCCTTACAATATTTTAGCCTAAAAGTAGCAAAGATATTGTGTTTAATTTTATAACTAGTGTTGTATTTTGGAACCGAACCGAAGAGTTCCAATATCCAAGGATTTCCAAAAACTATCGACCCTATTCGTGACATAATAATAGCCATTATTATCATTCAGAATTTAAACGAACTGAAGAATGAAAATTTTTTATGTCGGTTTTACAATTCGGTTTTAGATATATGAAAAATTTTTAGGCGCGGAACAGAGGTTGATCAGAAATGACAAAGGTGCCGGAAATCGGCAATGGCTTAAAAGTCGGAAATCGAAAATCAGCTCAAATTTTCGGAAATCGGAATTTCGATCGACCTCTCGTGTTGACAACCCACTACCAGAATCTCTTTTATTTTGCTTTAATGTAATAATATTGCTGATCGAATTCAATAATATTTAAAATGAATGAGCAAACATTCTGTAATAATTTTAGCAACAGGCAGCAAAGGCACAATTTTTGGCTTCAACAGGCACGGCAATTCTTGCTGGATTTGGAATTATTTCAGTATTAGCTTTATTGTTTGGATTCGTTTATATAATTGTTAAATTATTTGGTTCTAGGAGATAATTGAAGTGAAAGATTATTTAATGATGTTAAACAAAAAGTAGGGAAAAGACAAATTAATAGATAGTTTATATTTGTTTTTAAAGCTGAAAGTAGGTTGTAATATAAATTTCAATAAAGTTTGACCTCAATAACATACTAGTTTAAATCATAAAAATTTTTTGATATCGTGTGTGTAACGGTGGTAAATGTTCGGGACGTGACATATGTGACTGAGTCGAACGGTAGTACTCCCTACTTCAGGAAATGATTCTGGACAGAGTTATAGGTCCCGAAAAATTTAAAAACATAGAGGGGGGTGAGAAAGGTCGACACCTCAATATAGGTGTTGAATAATGTTAAACAAAAAGTAGGGAAAAGATTCAGAATAGCTCCTTACCTATGGTCTCCGTGGTGGTTTTTGCTGCTATGGAGGTCCCAGGTACGGCCGGAGCAAGAAGATACGAATAGCTTTATGTTACTGACCCAGAACCCACTATCTAGGTATTCATCAGAGACTGATTCATCTATACTTTGTAATTGTGTTTGGTAAATAGTGCACATTATTTTAGTTTAAAAATTAATTTTTTCTTACAAAGTTTATTCACAAAAAACTTTTCTTTAAATTCGCCAAACAAATTATAGGCTATTTTTAATTAATTTCCTTTACCAAAAATAATAACAAAAATATTTCTATATTTTATTTATGAAGATTTTTCAATGAAAAACTTCAAAAATTTCTTCAACTTACTAAAATTATAATTTATTTAATTGTTTATTTTGAATATTAAACAGAAGATGACGCCTTTAAATATGTAAAATAAATAATAAGAATGGTTAGAAATATTAAACTATAAAATATTTAGAGTTTTTAATTTAAAAGGTCATCAATTTTCGATGAATCTTTATTTATTTTTGAAAATTTTTGTTTCTAGTTTTTGTTAGTTTTTGTGGTTTGTTGGATATAGTCTTATGATGTAAAAAATTAATTAGAATTTCTCAAATGCTGAAATAAATAATAAAAATGTGCTCATACTTTTAGTAATATAAAAATAAATTTATAGAGATCCATTTTAATTAAAATAAAATTTCTATCACTCACTGCCCAACTACTTACTTTCAAATTTTTATAGCAATCACAACTTCTACAGAAGTATATAACACTCACTACTATTGTTGACGACTTCAAACCAAACCGACTCTAGAAACAGAAGACAATAGAATCTGGTGAAATCGAAAACCGTACTAAAAACCTACAGCACTACAGATGTTTATAATAAAGCCGAAGGAACTAGCTTTTTCCAAAAAAATAAATATGTGTTACCATCAAGATGATAGAACATCTCAAGATGATAGAACCATCATCTTGAGCTAGCGGACTTTTGTCGCATCTGTTACATCAACCCGATGATTATTCTAGAATACTCGAATAATTACCCCCTCCCAAATAATTGGGTACACCCCGATGTACCGCGAGCCCTATGTAACGCCGAGCTATAACTTTATTCAAAATTGCAGAATCCGTGGCGGCCTGGTATGGTTTGATGCATCTCGTCCAGCTGAATCGAACCATACTATGGCGCCACGGCTTCGACAATTTTGGACAAAGTTATAGCTCAGTGGTACATTGGGCTCGCGGTACATTGGCCTGCTCAACTATTCCCTCCCAATTAATTACCTCCTACAGTGAGGTTTTGTAACAATAATTATCCAATCGAAACGCCCTACTCGCGACTATTCGTCTATTACTGAACTTATTAAATATATTTTTAGAAACTTTTATTTATAAAAATGAATTCTATTTTCATAAAATCCTTCCTAATAGCTTTATTATTGTCATTTGCTTATGCAGCTGAAAAAGGACCAGACAATGAAGTAAAAAAGGATGAAAAAGCAGAAATACCGGATCAGACAAAAACAATAGAAGGGGCTGTAAAACCTGAGGCAAAACCTAATCTCGTATTTCAATCTAAAAACAAAGAAAAATCTGACGTTGCTCCTCCGTTTATTGTCAAATCAGGGGATGGAAAAGAGTAACTAATTCTAAATTTTATTCAATTATTTTAACAATTAAGTGAACGACAAAAGCGTTGGGGCTATGGATATGGTGGATGGGGTGGCTATGGTGGTTGGGGCGGTTTTGGAGGAGGATGGGGTTGGGGTGGCGGTTATGGTGGAGGATGGGGATGCTGTGGCGGCTATGGTTATGGCGGCTGGGGATGGGGACGCAGATAAAAATCATTATCAAAATAAATTAGGAGTCAATTTAAAAGAATTATCAAAAAATTATAAATAATTTTTTAGATTAAATTTAATCTTATTCACATATATCATATGTCCATATTTCCATTTTTTTAAGACTAATATTATATAATCTTATTTAAAATTTTACTTTAATATATTTTTTGTTTAATTAAATCAAATGCAAAGTCCGAAAATTTAGGCTGATTTCCGACTTCTGAGTTCCGACTTTTGAGCCATTTCCGATTTCCAACAGTTCCGATTTCCAACAGTTCCGATTTCCAACAGTTCCGATTTCCAACAGTTCCGATTCACCTTTGATATATTTTGGCAATCTCAACCATTTTCTTTTCTTATTTCTCTTTCGAAAGGAATCAAAATGTAGAAATCACAAGATTCTACCTTTTGATTTCTTTATTTGTTGGGTAAATAATAAAGCGTTTTTACTACTAAATCTAATTTTATACTAAAGCTAAAAATAAAAAATAAAATGTGGAATTGATAAAAAATATCTTTCTTTTTGTAATATTTTTTTGCATTTTGAATTTTCTGATTTTTTTGAATTTTGAATTTTATATAATATTTTGCTTTTTCAGTTTTTTTAAATTTTTTATCTATTTACATCATTTTCTCAAAACTTCAAATCATCTTCAACTCGTTTCAAACAGGGGTGAGCGCATGCGCTTACGTTTAATGTTTAAATTTTGGCCTCGCCTTTGTTTTGCATTACTCTAACGGAATAGACGCAAAAAACAAAAAAATGTTGTGTTGACTTAGTTGATAGATTTCTCCTTTTTTCCTAAGGTTAACCTTAGGAAAAAAGGATAAATTTATCAGCTAAGTCTTCCAAAATCACAAAAATTTCGAAAATTTTCATCAAATCTCAAAATTTTTGCGTTTTTTCGTTTTTATTTCTTTCCTATTGCGTTATTTTTTAGCAATGAATTTTGTTTTCCTTTTTCTCGATTGTCTCCTGCGCTCACCACTGTATGCTCAGACTCCCTTCTCATTCTTCATCATTTTGGTCCTCATCTTCACTTTCTCCTTCACCTACTTCTCCTGCATTTTTTTGATCAGCACGAGCAATTTCAGCATAATCTATTAGAAATA